ACAATGCATGCAACGTTGTTGCATGATGCTGCCTGCGTTCCTGCCTGCCTGCCTGCACCTCGAACTCCTCTCATTCGTCCTGCGTTATTTATTTGGCTTATCGCACCAAAGGTTTTGGCCTCCGGTCGGCAGGATGCGTTGCCGAAAATTGTGCTACATTCGGTCGTTTGTTTTTGGTTAGACAAACAGTTTTTGCCATACACCTCCCCTCCGCCCACAAATTCATTGGCTGTCTCTATTTGGCTTACAAACCATATTAATTTTGTTAGATAAATATTAGTTTTCAGCTGATCCTGGCAGTGGGGGATGGACAGTGTTTCGATTTTATGTATTTTTAATGAACCATTGCCCGGCATTACCGGAGGCCATGTGTTTTTAGGATCCAGTTAGTGCCGGTGCCCAATTTCATGGCACTTTAAATGTTTAATTTACAATTTATGTAAAAATAAAATACCCCAAAATATCCACATAGAAATAGCACAGTTTTTTCGGTGTGCTGTTTTTTTTTTTTTTTTTTTTAGCCTGAGAAACGTATGTGTATCATGATAAATACCAGGCATTAAAATAAATTACAGCTTTCGTTGGACTCCCTTGCAACTCTCCCTCTCCTCTCTTTTTGTATAGAAAAAAAGTATTTTTAATATACTCAGAGAAAGAGTACAAACCGAGAAAAAAGCCAGGAAATTGGGGGAAAACTTATACAAACGTTGCATGCAAGCCGGGCGAGGCGAAGAAAAAATGTGGAATGAATCTGGAAAAAAATATATGATATGAAGAGCCCCAATATTAATATAATTTGCAGGCAGCTTAACCGAGTGTCCCTCTTCCCTCTTTTTGGTATATCCTTTGCCCTCCTGTCAGCAAATCAGACATACAAAGGGGCAACCTTTTAGTTTACCTTAGCCAAAGTGCATTAAATTCATTCCTTTCGCGGTTTATGCCAAGGTGCTTAAGCCAATAAAGGGGGAAATACGCTCCTTGAAAATAACAAAGTGGCTTAAGACAAAAGGGGTAAATACGAAGTTGGGAATTCTCTTGGTGACGTGTAAGTTTAAAGGATATTGCTGATTTTCGTATTCAACTGCTTACCTTTACCTTTAACTGGTCATAACGAAAGATATTTAACTTTACGAAATCCTAGTACTAGGTCCCAGAGATTCATTCATCCTTTAAAATCATATAATATCCTTACAAAGAGCACTAAAACCTTAGACGTAAGGCAAACGTAATGAAATCCCCACGTAATTGCATTGCCCGTAGACACAAAAGACGATGACAATGTAAGTTAAGTCCCCTATAATTCCTATTCCACCCATTATAATAACCCCTCTGACCTGGCCATAACTTCTAAATAATTTATAACATTTTTGCAAACTTTTGTTTGGCTTTGGCTTTGTTTTTCACATTTTCTGTTTAGATTTCATTCATTAATAGGACTTTTATGACTTTCAGACTTGCTAGTTTTGCCCCCATTTGTTGCATTTTTATGTTAATCGCTGTTTGTGCTCAGTTCTTAGTTCTCAGTTTGTGTATTACCATTGCCATCCTATGGCCTTTTGCAAATTTTCCTCATTTGAGGTGAAATTGCATTTTTCTGCTGCTGCTTTTGGGGCTAATTATTGTTTGGCCCCGTCGCGCCTGACATGCATATTTGCTGTTATGTGTCTTTTAATTGCTGTTCTTGCCGCTCGCCAAAAGGGGCAAAATATGCAAAACTGGATGAGAAATGTTTCCTTGTAATGCCACAAAACCAGCTAAGGAAAATGCAAAGCAACTACCGCCTTGCTTGCTGTTCTGGCCAAAATGTGATTTTTATCAACCGCAACGTGTATGTTTGTTTTGGGTTTGCTTACGCCATAAATCATCCGCACATCTGTCATTTATGTGGAGTTCGCTTAGTGGCGAAGCTTTTGCATTTTATATCTGCTAAACAGTGACGTTGTGTCTCCTCTAGCTACTCAAAACTTTGAAACGAAATTCCTGAGAATATTTCAGTTTATACAACAAGAAATGTGGACATTTTTGGCTAAGAGATAGGAAGGCTTTTCAAGTTAATGATATTTATAGCCTTTCTATGGGTAATAATAATCTGTTAGCTAACTCAGTTGCAATTCAAATGTCCCCCCTTTTACTGCCTAATTTACACATAAACAAATATTTGCTTTTATTATCATGAAAAACTTTTACTTTGCCCTATTCTTTGGCTATTTGTTTTAACCATGACGTCTGCTCTGGCCTTCTTTTCCCCACACACTCTATCTATGGTTATCTCTATTTATTATTGGTCTTTGTTTTCGCCAGAGACGTCATCATGCGTTATCTTCAAAATCCCTCCACAGCGATATTTATTTCCCCATTTCTATATAATCGTATATATATATAGAAGAGCGATAAAGAATTGCGTAGACATGAGACTTCGGATGTATATATGGGCAGAACAATTTCTCAGTTGTTTTGTAGCTATTTCCGAGACACTTTAATGGCTTTTAATTGTGGCAAGAGTGTGTGACTGAACAAAAGTAATTTCACACTCGCTGACTTTTCGGCGACGTTGGCGGCCACCACGAAAGTGCAACAAAACGAAAACAATTTTTCTTTTGTATGTTTTATAGGTACTGAAAAACTGTAACCTGCACAACCTCCTTCCTGCCCATATCCAGAGATATGCCCAACATTTTGGCATTTTTTGGTGAGATATTTATTAGCCACAATTTGGCAGGCAGCACAAATTGGCAGCTTTCGCGCTATTCACTCACTCAGTCTACTCGAGCTACCTGCGGTTCATAAAACGCAAATTTATTATTTATATCAACTCTTTTGTGCTATTTGCCGTGTCAATTCGTGGGACATGGCCGAGGCCATCCAACCAACCAACCAACCATCCCCAACTCATTCCCCAAAAACCACCTTCCCCAGAGTTTAAATTCTTCAGCCAAATTATGAGAAAATCTTGTGTACCAAAGAGCATTTGTCACAATTAAGCGACGGATAAAATTATAGAGATGGTAGGGTAGTAATGCACGTCCCCCCTGTTAAAGTTGTAATAATGCTGAAAACCCCCGAAAAAAGTAAAAGGAAAAGGGAGAAAAACTTCTGCCACGTTGACGTTGCCATCGACATTGGCGACATGGGACCGCGGTCCACCCTTCATCTCGCGGTCCTCTCACCTGCGGTTTACCTTCTTTTTTGGCAGCCTCGGCTGCTGGGCCTTCGTTTTGGCCCAGTCCATCGTTTTTTCCCTTTTTTAGCCAGCCAGTCTATTATGATGGCGGGCAACGTCAGTTTTTGAAGCTCCTCGCCATGAAATATGCAAAGAGCAGTTAAAAAAACTTTTTATTTGTATTAATCAAACAGAGTTATTCTTTCTCCTCCTTCCGAACCCCCCTCTCGCTTTTGACAACAATGGCAGCAACTGCATTATAAATAGGTGGAAAGGCTGTCTGGAAAAAAAAGGGGGGCAAGGTGCTGTGATTGTTTCGACATTTTTGACAATTATCGCTTGAACATTTTTCAATGGAATCGCGTTTTTTGGGACTGAGTTAAGTTGTTCAGCTCAAGGCAGCGATGACAAATTAGTTTGGCCATAAAACTGGAGAGTGCGATCAAAGCAAACAATTTGTCGCCCAATTCACCCCACTGAGCCGCCCACTTTTTCGAGAGTATGTCCTCTGCCAAAACGTGAGCCATATAAAAATCGCATAAACAACTTCAACTGCCACTACAACAACGCCCTGAAAAAGTAACTACATCAACGTCATCATTGGAACTTAAAGTGTGATGAGGGAGGGCAATGGAAAATCCTTGCCTCGCCAGGGATGCGTGCGTAATTTTAAGGGATTTTTCTCGGCGTTTTTACCCTTTTTGATTTTGAGTATTAGTATGGAAGATCTTAGATTAACTTAGATAGCACTGTCCTTAAAAAGATTTTAAATAACATTTAAAAATTAAATGCATTTTATGCACAGAAATGCAATTTATCAATCTCTATGTCAAAGAGAACAATCTAAAATCAATTCCACTAGAAAGACTTTGTTTTTTAGCTGCTTTTAAGTAACTACCTTGCTGACAAACTAGACTAAAGTTTGAAATTTATATTTATTGACTTGGCTATAAGTTATGATCATGAAATCACTGGCACATCCCTGGTCTCGTGTGTGTGCTCACCTCTCCAAAAAAAAGGGGCCAAGGGACAGCAACAACAACCCCACGCACCCAATACCGCTGCCACCCAACCAACGTCTGGCATTTGCAATTTGGCAACACATTTTGGTTACGCGGCGGCCTTTGCTAGCGAAATGGCTAAATGGGGAGCTCTGGCAAGCGAAGTCAGTCGCTCCGCTCCGAGCACTTTATATAAATTGTGTACAAATACTTTTTATGGCTCTTCGAGTGCAACCTATTGGCTCTTTGATATACGACAAGTTACTAGGAGGTTGGAATGGTAGATGGGGCGGCGGCGGGGCAGTGTCAGAGGCAAGTGGGATGTCGCGTAGATGTGTCCGCTTTTATTACACATTTTTGCTAAATTACAGTTTGGCCGCAAAGTTTATTTACCCTCGCTAGTTGCGTGGCATTTTAATAAACCGAAAGTTGGTTCGATTTACGTTGCAAGCTCCATTAAGTGTGGGTAATTATTCAATGACTCAAAACGACGAAAACTTTGCCACGCATTCTGCCCAGCTAATGTTGCAAGATCGGATTTGATAAATGGAGAAATGCAAAAACTCGTTTATTAATGTTGACATTATAGGATTTCTTCCCCCTTTTTTTTATATATATATTTTCTCCAACTATAAATCATCGCTCTAAACTGATTTACATTTTTGTCGCATTTATGAATGTCCGACAGTTGCACCTGTTGGGTGTCAGGTGGAAAATGTGGGAAGGGTTTTTTCGTGAAAAACTGCTGCGAAAGATATGCGAAATTGATTTCCCGACTTGCGCTTTCGCTGCACTTAACATCTATTTTTTGTTTTCTAACTTTTTCATCGTTTTTTCAGATGGCGAACCCATCAAGTTGCCCGACAATTTGGAGAGCCTGCCAAGAGCCGACAGTTTTCCATCACAGCGTCATCGTTGGAATACAAATGAGGTCAGTTTTAGTTCTAAGTTTGTATCTCTGTTTTGTTTGTTCGTTGTCTTTTTTTTTTTTTGTGTTAGTATTTGTGGTTGTGTTTCTATTTGCATTTGATTGCACATAAAATTGTCGAAACGGGGAAGTCAAGTGAAAGCTGAAAGGAAGTCGACGACTTCAGTGCTGGAGCCTTGGACAGTTGACAGGCGGATGAGCCTGCCAGTCCTTCGCCAGGACACTTTGACAGCCTTCGACGACGGCTTCTTCCTTGCCTTGAGACGCCACACACTTGTGAATTTCTATATGCAGATTAATGAGATGGTGGTCAGTCCATTAGGAAGGATATCGCGACGTTTTTATTGCAGCCACAAACTATAATGCAAACACCAGTAAAACTAGAACTCCACGATCTGTATTTGGGGACCGGCGTTTAAAAACCTGACCACGCGTTGCCGAAAAGTTTGCTTCAGGGTTTTCTGCTTTTTTTTACCCGGGGATTCAGTTTGGTTTGCAATAAAAGTTTTCGCTCGCGGAAAATGAGAAAACAACAGAAAAAAAAACAAGCAAAATTCTTTGCAATGAGCTTGGCTTGTTGTGTTTTACTTGTGAATTAAGCGCAACCGCAAATATTCATTTGGACAGTTGTAAAGTTCAAGCCGGTGGGGTTTTTATTAGTTGGTATGGGGGAAATACGATAGGCGGGTTTTTACACTACATCGTTAAAAAGTTGACTAAATTAAATGGAGCTTTGGAGGGAGTAATCAAAACACTCAAAGTAAAGAAAGTTCCCCTAATGGCATATATTTTATAGATTAAAAAGAAGGAATATTATGATCTGGCTCTCTGGCTGGCATTCGTACTCCTTTAAACTATATAAAGCTCTTAGGTTTTATTTAACTTCCCAGTATTTCATACATTTAATTCCTGCCCACCCTGTAAGAGCATCTCCTAGTTGATTAAAATAAAGTTTACGCAGTGAAAAGCAAAGAACTGCGAGTCCACCAGCAGGACCCATGAACAGAACTACCTACAGGACCTCTTACCCTCTGCAACAGCATGCAAAAATTACAAAATGTAGCCGTGTACGGGGCATAAATAAAATTACGCACGCTTATTTTAGTCTGCTTACAGGAAAAACGAGGCAGTTGGGGCTGTGGGGGGACGTGGAAAAGTGTCAGGATGACCAAGCATACGAACCTGGAACTGTCGCTTTAACCACATGGTTTTAATTTGGCATTTAAGCAGTAGCCAGGGGCCAGAGGCCACTCGACCCGGCTCATAAAGCAACTGCAAAATAATAGCAACAACGGGAAAGGTCCACAGACTGAGTGTGTGTGTGTGGTTGGAAAAAGGCGCAGCTTAAAAATCAAAAAGTTAAATTGATAATGAGTCGCAATTTTATGTTTATTTTTTTGGCGAACCATTCGTTTTCTGGGTGACCCCAAACTGGCCCTTCTGCGTTGGTCACCAAAAGGACCACTTGACTGGAAATGATTAAGTGGCGTGCATTAAATTAGTCCCTGCTGGTTGTTCTAAGGATGGCAAGTGTTGAGCTTCAAAAGAGTTGGGAAATCTGAATAAGATTTTTATGATTTTATAACGAAACTCAACTCGAATTCGTATGAAACTATAAAGTTAAGGAAAGGATTCTAGGATGTTCTTAAGCTAAACTTTCCTCATTCCTTGGAAATATATATTTCCTGTATGATTGATGCATCGTTTGTTCGATGCTCTGGTGAAAGTGTTGTAACAACATTTGACTAGAGCAACGCCCATAGCCAAAAAGAGCGGGTTATACGCTGAGGTGGGCATAAATTCTTAATGCCTCGCCTTTTGGAGTATGTGCCTGGAATTCATCATAAAGCGTGGATGGAGTTTGGAGTAGGTCGCTCGAGCCATGCATAAATAAGGCAACAGCCATCCATCTATATATATGTATATATCTATCTTTCCATATGTCCTTCCATATGCTCTTGACTAGTGAAAAAGCCAAGTCAGGGGCAATTTTGGGCAAAATGCAAACGTTTGCCACTTGACAAACACGCGCCTGTGATTTGCTCAACCTCCCATCCGATATACAATTTTTATGACACTCGCAAATGCTGCGATATCTGCCTTACATGGAGAATGTTTTTGGCTGTTGGTTGCACAGCTGAGGATGCTAAGGAAATGGATGGATGGATGGATGGCCACTTTGCATTATTCATGCAACGTCAAGGAAGCAAACAAATTGATAACTTTATCGGCAAAACATGCAATGAAATGTTCAAAATGGGCGAATTCCCTCTGAACTTTCGCTGACTGTTGTGTGATTTGCATTCGAAACGTTTTTGACTTTCCAAAATCTAAAGCTCCTTCGCTTTTTTTAAGATTTTATATTCCTTGGTGACAGGGCATTTCAAGTATGCACACAAATTGCACTCACTCGGGATGCGTCTGTGCTGGCTTTTGGCCTTTTGCTGGTTTCTGGCCACCAACTTGGTTAAGTGTCAACTGCCGGCGACACCTGTAAATTGTGGTTAACACACGACCACCATCTCTACCTCACTGTTTTTCTCTTTTTTCGGTGGCAGTGTCCGCTTTGCGGTCAAATGAAATTTCTAAAATGTTTTCCTTTGTTTTATGGCGCAGAAATCCCTTCTCTCCTCCAGCTTTTAGCAAAGGAAATGCCGCGAGTTCCGTGACTGGGCAGCGGATCCGTTTGCCCATTAAGTCCGGAAATTGTTAGCACGTTAGTTAAGGTCAGTTAGCCAAGTTAGCAGGTGAGCTGTGAGGGGCCATGATGGAGGTTGGGAAATAACTTTTCCAGTGTCGCAGCGATGAGAAGGCCGTTGTGAAGGCCGCTCGCATGCCTTATCTCTAAATATTTTCACAAAGATGTATTTGATATGCAAATATAGAAATATATACTAAAGGCAGTGTTTATGTATTCCAGGAAATCGCTGCTATTCTTATCAGCTTTGATAAGCATGGCGAGTGGCAGTCCAAAGAGGTTCGAACCAGGTGAGTCATAAAAATTAGGGTATAGGCTTTCATCTTAATCTGTTAACGCGTAATACCGCGTAATGGCTATACATATTTTATATTTCCTTAAGATCTAATATGAATACCTTTTATAATCTTCCCTTTTAGACCCAAGAGCGGATCACTGTTGCTGTACTCAAGGAAGAAGGTCCGTTACAGACGCGATGGATACTGCTGGAAGAAACGCAAGGATGGCAAGACAACCCGTGAGGATCACATGAAACTTAAAGTACAAGGCACTGAGGTGAGTTTAGATCTTCTTTTTTATCCTGTTCAAGAGCCATTGCTAGCTGCACAATTAGGCAATTAGCCGGAATCGTTTTCCAGCCATTGCCATCATTTGTCAAAAGGTTAAAAAAGGCTTAAATTTCCCGGACTTCCTTGGAATTTACCCATTTTTTTCATCTGTTTTTCCCTTCTTGACCGTATGGGGGTTCCTTTGGGTGAGTTATGATTTCCCGCCGGAAGTTGACAGAGCCTTACTGTATCCTTCCCTTATTCCTTGAAGCATTTCGGCCATGGCAAGTGTTTGCTTAAGGATGTGTGCAACGTCGCCGTTGCCTGCTAATGAAATAAGCCTTGCCAAGGGTTAAGCTTATTTATAAGGTCTGTCTGTCGGAATATCTATACCCCAACTACAGGCCATTACAGAAACATAAAAACATTTGGCAATTTCACGCCAATTTTTTCCACAGTTTTTCCCCCGGTTTCGCCCTTTGTCGTTTGTTTTTATTTTAATTTTTATTTTAATACATTCGCAAGTAAACGTGGCCGGCAAAGATTTATGCAGTTGGCATTGCCGGCGGGGTGCCGTCTTCTTACATGATAACTGGGCCCAAACGAGGCAGATAGTACAAAGGAAATGCCAAGGCGAAGCAGAAGAAGTCAGCGGCATATCGCGGCCAACGAGAGCCAACAAATTTATCAGCGGGTAGAAGAAATTTCTCCCAAAAAAAAAAAAGAATACATACTTAGATAGAAAAAAAAGAGGGAAAAAAAAGTCTGAAGAATAAGAAAAATGCGCAACGAAATGTTTTATAAGTCAGGGAAACCCTTTTCCTCAGCTCTTCCGTTTCGATTCGTTGGCTTTCGGTTTGAGTTTGAGTTTGAGTTGCCTGATTTTTGGCACTTACCAAGAGACCAAGTGGCGCCCCCTAGCGTGGGCGGTTGGTAATTTAATTTGAGCTCCACTTGCTCTTCGTTTTTATGTTTTCCAATTAAATGGATTTCTTCTCCACGGGGCAAAACTAGCTGCGTGTGGAGCCTGAGTGTTGGAATTCCCAAAGTTTTTAGACCTTTTTTATGCTCTTGTTTGTGTTTGGCCGATAAATTGAATTTCCCTTCGATTTCTGTCCCTTCCTCTTTTCCACAGTGCATCTATGGTTGTTATGTACACTCGGCCATATTGCCCACATTTCATCGCAGATGTTACTGGCTATTGCAGGTAAGTTTTGGTATTCTGCTTCTTCATAGACATATTTTAATCCTGGGAGGTCCTTTATCTTCTTTTCTGTATAGAATCCTGACATTGTTTTGGTGCACTACCTGAATGTCCCGTATCCGGATGATAATAAAATGGCCGTGATTGCGCCAAGTATCACACTTTGGGGCGATAAAAAGGAATGGACCAAGGAGGAGCTGGTCAGCCAGCTCAAGCCCATGCGTAGGTTTAGATTTTGACTGAGATTTTTAGCAAATAATTCCTCTTGATAAAATATTTCTTAAAATTGGTTAACTTATCCTTTGTTTTTTAGTCTCCACAGTTAATTCAGACGACGACTCTGATTCCGGCAACGACATAGAAATATCGGTGAGTAATTATTAATTCTACGTCAGAGAGGTGAGTCATTAAATTGGTTTTTCCTTGCTTAGACGGCGGAGACAGTGGAGTCCATAGTTTGTCAGCTTATGGAGAAGCAGAGATTATCCCGTCAAGCTGCGCTGGTCAAGCAGCTGGACTGCGGCTGCGGGGATGGAGGATGTGCGGACGGAAAAACATGCACGCATCCCGTGATGCGGCGATCGGCTGCCATGCTGAAATCCTCAGTGCAGGAGAAAAGGCTGGGGGAGAACTTCAATGGCAATTCGCCCAATGTGGTGGTAGCCAGCAAGCTCTACTCTCGATGGGCAGAGCGGCCAAGACAGCACCTGGACAATCATGGGCAGTTTCATAATGTAACGCAGCAATTGCCACAGGAGTCGGCCATTAAGTTTCAGATCATTCCGCCGCAGCAGCAGCAGGATGGGAACTACCAACAGCAGCAGTATCGGGGAGCCAGTCAAATGCTGGCCGCCAGGATGCAACAGCAGCAGCAGCAGCAGCAGCAACACCAACAGCAGCAGCAGCAATACCACCAGCAACAACAGCAACAGCATTTGAGCCTGCAACGTTTCGTTGCGAGTCAAAGCCAGAATTCGGTGCATCTCAATCAGCAGCATAGACTGCAAATAGCCAATACAACGATCACAGCCACAGCCAGAGATCCTGCGACGACTTCAGCAGCAGTAGCAGCAGCAGCAGCGGCAGTCGCCTCAAATGTTATGGACACTGAACTAATTGAAAATCAAAACCACATGACCGCAAACAAAATCACAAACTCCACCAGCAACAGCAGCAGCAATAGCAGTAGCAGCAATGCCAGCAAGCAATTAGCAGCTCAAACAAACAACGAATTAAATGTCGTAAATAATAACGACCCCGGCAACAATAACTTTATGTACAATCAACAGCAGCAACTTAATGCTTCCAGCAACAGCAACAACAGCAGCCAGCAGCAGCAGCAACATTATTATAAATTGCAACAGACAACAGTAACAACCCCAACTAGTGGTCAGCCGCCTCCTCTGGTGCAAGTTCAACCCCTTTCCTTGCCCCAACCCCCCGTGGAGGCCATGTGCATGTCACCCGAGCATCGCAGCAGCAGCAGCAGCCAGCATCCCACACCTGCAACGTCTTCCGCTGGCAACAATCTCCCTTCCTCATCCACACCCACATCCATATCCACACCCACATCGGGCACTTCGTCCACTTCGAGTTCCTTACAATCGATTATCGATGGCAATCAGCAGCAACAAATTACAACGACATCGACGGCAGCAACTTGTGATAATTTAATGAGCGCCAATGCGCTCTCTGAGGTGAGTAGCAACCGCAAAATCACCTGCAATCATTGTATTTATGTTGATTAAATTCAAACTTATTCGACAGCAGGACAGCAACACAGTCAACAATCAGGCCACAGAAGCCCACAATAGGAGTCAGCCGCAGTCGCAGACGCTGGCTCAACCCTTGAACCAAAATGGTTGTGCAACTTTCAGTGCTTCCAGTGATAACAGCAGCCAAATTAGTGACGAGAGCAGCAGCTTTGGCGGTAACAATCAAAACAGCAGCAACAGCAGTAGCAGCAGCGAGGAGGAGCCCCAGGCGGAGACGTTGAGCTTCTTTAACGAGACATTGGATCTGTCTCACGAGGATATTCAGCGTACTTTGATTGCCAATATGCCGTACAATACTACGGTAACAGGAGCAACAGGAACCGTCAATACAACGACAGCAACAGGCAACTGCAAACTGGAGAACAATCAACAGGAGGCGGAGAAGAAACCCTCGCTGGGAACTGACCCCTGAAACGGAGGTTGAAGAGGACGAAACGGATGATGTGTTTGCCAATCTGGATGCCTTCGATATGCTCGTGGAGTTTCCAGAATTGGATTTAGATGACAAACAGGCCCTGAATAACACCGCTTTGGAGCAGGGCTCCTTTTTGGGAGAAGCAACGCCAACGCAGCCTCGCAAGGTCCTTAATATATGCGACTTTAGTCCCGAGTGGTCTTACACGGAGGGAGGCGTTAAGGTTCTGGTGGCCGGACCCTGGACCAGTGCGAATGGTGGTGCCTACACTGTGCTCTTTGATGCCCAACCCGTGCCCACGCAACTTGTGCAGGAGGGCGTACTCCGCTGCTATTGTCCCGCTCATGAGGCGGGCTTTGTTACTCTGCAGGTGGCCTGCGGCGGATTTCTAGTCTCCAACTCAGTGATGTTCGAGTATAAGCTCTCACTGCTGGCGGATGCTCCTTTCGATGCCAGCAGCTCCAATGATTGCCTGTACAAGTTCACGCTGCTCAATCGCCTGTCCACCATCGATGAGAAGTTGCAGGTGAAGACAGAGCAGGAGCTCACGGTGCGTATGATTGTTGGTTTCTGACTTCATTTTCTATATTAAGATATTTTGGTATTCCAGACCGATCACACCGCTCTCTATCTGGAGCCCAACTTTGAGGAGAAACTGGTGGCGTATTGCCACAAGCTGATTAAGCACGCCTGGAGCATGCCTAGCACAGCTGCCTCTTGGACAGTTGGATTGCGTGGCATGACCCTGCTTCATTTGGCAGCTGCTTTGGGCTATGCCAAGCTAGTGGGGGCAATGCTTAATTGGCGGTCAGAGAATCCACATATCATACTCGAAACCGAACTGGACGCCCTTAGCCAGGATGTCTATGGTTTTACGCCGCTCGCCTGGGCCTGTGTGCGTGGTCATGTGGAGTGCTCCCTGTTACTTTACAAGTGGAACCACAACGCCCTGAAGATTAAGACCCAGGCCCAACAGACTCCCTTGGATTTGGCCAACATGCGTGGCCACAAACATTTGCTGGCACAGATGTATCGGCTGGAAAAGGAGCGCTGCCGGAAGCCACAATTACGCGGAGGTTTGGCCAATCTTTCGATGAACATGGGCGTGGACGCTGAGACGGATGAACACCAGAGTTTCAGTAGTTTCGATTTGGAGCTCCAGCGCAAGCATGATGGAGTTTTCCTGAGACCAGTTGCTGTGCATAGGTAGGACTTCTATATCTATGTAAGGATACCATCTTTCATTGATTTTTCTTTTGTCGTAACCTACAGCAATCAGAGTCCGCCCAATAACAGCAGTCGTTATTCCAAGCGATCCTCCATAGACAGTGGTATTAACATGGATATACGGACCAAATCAGGAAAACCTCTGGCCAGGCTTCATAGGTAAGACTGCAAAACTAATCTTTATAACTTCCACTCAACTTATTCTTAAACTTCCAGCAACTTTGAGAGCCATGACAATTATGCTCTGGGCGTAGACTCGCCGCTGGACTCCTTGACTGGGACCAACTGTCTGCTGTCGCCGCTGCGTAAAATGGACTTTGCTCTCTGTAAGTCGGGGAATCAGTTACTGCATGAACTCAACTCCTAGCTATAGTCTATATATATGGAATCAAACAAATGCTCAAATTTTCTCGGTAAATTCAAAATAGGCGAGGTATCGACGGGCGAATCAAGTCCCGTGCACGAGAAAGATTGCGACGACAACTCAACGAGCGCGACCGACGTGACCATTGGCAATGACATGGCCCTGCCCGATGCCGTTGTAGGTCAGTGATGGCAGACGGATACCGCCCTGCTCCACTATCAATCCAAAAAAACTCAAACAATCTGTCAAACCCGTAACAAACTCACCCGTTTATAATGTACTGTAGCTAAAAACATACTAACCATAACTAATGGGGGCTGGCTATCAATGTTGTTGATGTGTTGTTGTTGCTATTGCTGTTATTGTTGTTATATGTACTCATGTGTATTTGGGGCGGGAAGCTCGTTTAATCAATGTAAATGTTCGTTATTAATATTGGTTGCTGGTTTTGTGCGCCCTAAATGTGCGCTTTTATCGATGTCTACATTTAACCGATTACTAATTTTAAACTAACAAACACTCGCCGCCTAATTAACCACGAATTGATCGTTGTATATATTATGCATATATATAAATCCGAGGTGTATGTAAATAGCTAGCTAAACACTGTTCTAAACACACTAAAGTCAATGCTTGTCGGTGTATAATACAAATAATAATTAACCGTGTCCAACGACTTTGTTTATCGTGATCAATTAGGAGAGTCATAAAACGTAGCTTTGTCAATTTAAGCCCAATTAGATCTTTTTACATGATTGCGCTTAAAATTACAAAGACATATAATTATATATATAAAACTGTAAATCTGTACATCAAAGTGTCCAACTCAATTATGTAGTCTCGTTTGCCATGTATTTGTATGAAAGTTTATGTCTTGAACCAGTTTGGTAATGAGTTTTGGCGTGTTTTCAGGGGATTCTGATGCCAAAGTACTGACATTAGCGGAGCACATAATAGCAGCCATGCCAGAAAGGATCAAGGTGAGTTGTTATTAGGTTATAAATACTTCATAAAAGTTAATAACTTTGTATTAATCCCCCTAGAACGAAGCCGATGAAATGATGGTACTGGGTAGCCCTTTGACGGAACCCCTCACCTCAGAATCTTCAGCGCTAACGGATAGCTTTATGGATCCCCTGCTGGATTCACTACCCAACACTCACTTTGATAGCGACTTTAGCTTTGACTTCCATGATCATAGCTATCGCTATCATGATGTCAGCACGCCCTGCTCCAGCTTGAGTCCAGCCAGTTCTGGGCCACTGCAGTCACCAGCCAGTTACTCGATATTGGGAACTGATCCCTCTGTCAGTTCACCCAGTCCCCCGCCATCCACCAAACAGTTGACGGAGTTTCTACACGCCTCCAGCATCTCACAGTATCCGTTTGAGGCGGATTTCTCCAAGCTTACCCTTACGGATACAGAGCAACGAGAACTTTACGAGGCAGCCAAGTGCATTCAGAAGGCATATCGCTCGTACAAGGGCCGACAGAAGCTCGAAGAGCAGAATAAGGAAAGGAGTGCCGCCACTGTGATCCAGAACTATTACAGGCGGTACAAGCAGTACGCTTATTACAGGCAAATGACAAATGCCGCTTTGGTTATTCAGCATGGCTATCGCTCCTATCGACGGAACAAACGATTCAAGAAGAGCGGTTTGGGTTTAGGCAGCTCCAGTGATCATGGCAGTGTGAGCAGCAACTCGCAGTGCCTGTCCAGCTTTTACGATCACTACAAACAGGATCAGCAGCAGCTGCACGAGATGGGTTCACAGCCCAGCACGCCCAAGGAAACTAGCCCTTCGGGTCCTTTGAAGTAATAGAGAGAATTTGGCATATTTATTATCTGTTTACTTATAAATTTTAATCTAATTTAACAGGCGAACATACTCACAGTCCACCCAAAATCAAGCTGCCAGGAAAATCCAACAGTTTATGAGACAATCACGCATCAAGTAAGTACCACTAATTGATCTGATTAATTAGGCTTAACTTAACACTAAGCTAATGAAATGGGTAATGTAATTGCACGCAAGCATTTGGGATGGCAATATGACGACTTTGGTAAGACCGTGTGTATAGTTTTGGTTTGGTTTTTTTAGATTTATATAATTTAATGACTTCTTACAAATACCTTTATCTTATTATATATCTCAATATTTAATTAATTCAATGATTTCTTTAAACAAAAACAGACTACAGAAAGAGCGAGCCGAAAAAGAGAAGCTGGTGCACCAACGCAGGGCGGAATACCTTCAAAACTTGCAGTTTCAAGGGCAGCAGGAAATGTTGGTGTGCCACGAAAATAAGTAAGCCAACACATTTTTGGATTCCTATACTAATCCGAAACTAATAAATCACTTCTTTTTTTTATAGCATTTCTGTGCCGAGCAGTGGGAACACCAATGCGAGCAACAACAACAATCTACACGAAATACAATCCAATCAGTGAGGGTCAACTGAGTGAATTTTTAACATAGGAACAGGCTGCACGGTTCCATAAGAATTTATGAATAGCTTTAACAACCGAGTGAAACTTTCTACTTTCGTATTTGTTCCAATTTGGAAAAACAATACCCAGCACCTCTGTAGTGAAACTTTGTTTCAAACCCCCCTCTCTCTCTATATCTTTGACACACTCTGAATTAGTAGCAACTACCTGCACTTTGATTCATTTGTCTAACGAATTTTAAGAAACTATGGATAGAAATCACACATTGTTTTCAAAGTGAAATGTAGCTTAGGTTAGTGGTCTTTTTAGGTATTACCAAAAAACCTAAACTTAACTGAAGATCGGACTCCAGGGAGAAGATGAAAACACAATTTTTCCATTTGTCAACTCAAAAGAACTTATTACTGAAGCCTTTGAAAAACTTTTTAACTCCAATTGTAGTAAAAAAAAAAAAAAAAAAAAGAAAACGTAGCCTGCAATATATACATATTATATATACATAAAATTTAAACCAATATTACGCATGTGTATGCATCTATATAGTTACATTTGTATATAGATATTGCCTAACTAACTAAATTCTAGTCTATTTTAACGTACTACCAGGCTCTGCGATGCGACTAAGCTTGTCTCTAAAGCAAAATACAAAAAAAAGATAAAGAAAACAAAAAACCAAAATCTTAAATATTAATCCTCGATCCTAACTAGTTGCTAATTGCTCTTTAGATTTAAGCAAAAGACTCCACTGAAAGTCCAAAAGTTGTTGTTGATTTCTAAAATCAGATTCGTATGGAGTGCGCAGCAGCTACCAATCTATCATGTTTCAAAGAAAACTAAACCCTATTCTAATTTCTAATACGCAAGTACTTATTACGATAACGTGTACTAAGTCTTACCTTATCTGACTATATAGACTAAGCCTAGCTAATGATAGAAAAAAATCAAAAGAATGTATTGCATGTGGGCACTATGACCAAAAATTATATGCATCCAAATCCAAGGGCGGTCAGCCAAAAAAAGAACACAGATGAAATATTCTGGAATTTTCAACTTTATGCTGCTGCTTTCCCCCAAACTGATTGATCGCGCCAGTCAATCTTAACTGCTTGAAGAAACACAGCCAAAAGAAACCAAATCATGCAAGAGAGAAAAGTTTTTAAACTAAATGTAACAATAAATGAATTTTTGTAAATTATTTTTGTCCGTCCACATTGTTAGCTTTCATAACATACCAACAAAAAAAAAGAACATATATACTTACAAATATACAATATATATAATATAGAAAGAGCCGATACTGATACGATAACAACCCAAGAAACAATTTTAAAATTAAAATGATCGTTCAAGTTCGAATTCAAATTAATAAACAGAGTTTGGATGACAGTTGGACGATGAATGTACATACACCAGCTCGATGCCTATGTGTCAGCACATAGGATCAGAGACACTTACCTCTAGCAGTCCCAAAAAAACAAAACAAAAGAAAGAAAGAAAGCCACAAAAAACCAAACTCACAAAAACCCAAGTGCAAAATAAAGCAACTTCAAGTGCGAGAGAGTGTGAAATCTGCGTATTGCGATGTGCAAAATGGGCTGTAAGTTGACGTTTTAATCGACGACATAAATAATCACAACCAGAGAGGCGCATCTGTTGAGGATAAATGGATGGGATTTAGGATCTATCACATTGTTAACTATTTAACTACGAACTATTATACTTAATTCGCACTATTATTAATCTACGAAACTTTGATTGCATTTTGCTCTAACTTAACTATGTATAAATCTGATCAACTGATTCGAAATGAAGACTAAATACGATTTCACTACTCAACTGACTTAAGAATTGCAATCAATTTTGTTAACTGTTTAGGCAGGGTGTTAGACATGTACCAGCTGAATACTAAATCCAATTAATTGCAATATTTGCACATAATATACTACACTACACAAAACTACTACACACAAGACACGCTCTGGCTCACAAACACACATACACATACACACAATTTATAAACCTCAAAGTAGCAACCTGAGTGTGTTTTAATGGAAGGACGTCTTTTTAGATAGAGGGAGGCCAAATGGCAAAGAAAACTTAAGTACCTTAAGCCAATTGGCACTAAAACTAAACTTAAATCTAATAAACAATTATAAATACCTATAACAGACTATATAATCTATATCGAAGTGGCGGTGTCTGCGATCGTAGGGCATTACTCCCAAAAACCTAGTTTTGTTTGAACTTCTTTTTTTTTCCAAACTTCAACTGAACTAAAATTCTAATGCAACACCAAAATTGTTGATATCTAACGACGAAACTTTAAACAATACGAAAAAAATACTATTATAGCTAATGTAATTGGATATTTGGTACTCACATATCTGTTAGATAATTTATACCTATACTTCGTCCTAATAGAACTTCTAAGTGCGGCGCATGTACGATGAAGCAAGCATTCTTCTTCAACTTCAACTAGCTAACTAACCAAACCATCCAACTTTCTACCAAGTAAACCCAAAATTCAGCTAATTGAAATGTTTGTTTCCGACTTTTCAGCTTAGTAGACCAGCAAATAGGAACGGATATGAAACTGTTAACTAAACTTTTAAGCGAAATATACCTAGAGTGTAATCTTTTTAAATATTATACCTTACTTGTATGGGATACTTAGCATGAACTATACACATATATCCGCAAACTAAAGAATGTTTAACAAATCAACGTATTATATATGTACAGACACAGACACTGATACACCCCCAAACCAACCACAAACAAAACATAGAGTTATATGTTATATATATATATATATATATTGTAAAACGACTTTCCAGTTTCTGTAAAATTGTAATTACATCCAATAAAGTTTAATTCAACACTTTAACTGGTCCTTGGGCTCTTCCCATCCTGGCTTATCTTCCTCTCTTCTCGCCGACCTGACAAACCAATTAGTAATCAATTTGTCTAAGTGAGCCGCCAACCAGCTGGCGCCAGTCATTATCAATGAATTGTCCTTAGTGCTAACCCTATCTCTGGCCAAAGAAAGTATCTTCAGGTAACGAGCGACGAGAAACAAAAAGGAAACCTCCAGCTGCTTGGGTCAGCGAGCATTTCCTTTTTTCCCAGTTTTCCTTTTTTCACCTTCTTTTTTTTCTAGTTCAGCTCAATTAACACTTGCTGCGTGGCGGGGGTTTAGGATGGTTCATGAGGATGAGGATGAGCTAATGGGGCGTAGATACATCTGTATCTGCTAGGTGCGTTGTTTCGTAATTACGAGCACAATGCAAAATGCCAAGGCGTTCGCAGTGTCTTGTTAATAAATAGGCCTGCTCTCGACCTTTTGCCGCTGCCTGAAATCGGACGCTGAGTTGGCTGCGCGTTTTCCGCTTTTCCAGCTCAATTTGCACTTGTTTATGGGCAATCGCAGTTTAGTCCAAAAAATCATTTTCCGAATGCGATTTTCTCGCTCCTCGAGGCCCTGATCGCTTCACTGGTTGTTTGGCTGTTTGGCTGCTTGACATTCGGTCTGTCAGCGGAAGCTGGAAGTAATGTGAAACCAAGCGTTGCCCCTCCGTTAGCGCTTTCCAGCCACAACAATAAACACCGAAAGCAATTCTCCTCCTCTCTCCGCATTTTTATTGTATTTCGGTTGTTTTTATATATTTTTTTTTGGTAAAGTTGTTGTTTAGTTGGAATTTTCGGGCCATTCTCGATTGTTTCATGGCTGTGCTTTGTTTTTGTGTGTTTTATATATTATTTTATGGTCATTGGAATGACGCTGCCACTGAAGTGGCGTAAGCCGGCTTCAATTCATTCAAAAGGCCAAAGGTACCCAATAAAATTTAGAATGTGTATTTTAGCTCCCAATTTTATAGCGAGTAATTAGGTTAGTCTACTTAAATGTGATACATTTACAGTAAACAAAAGGCTTGGCCACAAACTTTCTATTGTATTGACTTTTTATGTTCTAATATCAATTTCATTACCCAATTGTAAAAACATCAATGAAGAATGGAAATAAAGTGAAAGACTTAAACGAAAAACTTGACTTTCGTTTTGAGAAAAAGCTGGTTTAAAAGATGTCTTAGCTGAGAGGCAAGGATTGGCTTAAGACATATTTATGGCTATGTTAACTCTTAAGTTTTAATATCATAACTTAAATACAAACCAAAACTCAAACCACTAAACAAATAATAAGCATCAAAACAAAGGACTTAGGCAAAAAACTTACTTACAGCGAACTAAAATGATTTGTTGTTGAAATTTTCGTAAAATGTTAAGCAATACCCAAAGCCATAATAACGCCTGCAGTGCATAAAATTAATATTTTAATGTTTTTTTAATCTTTAGAGGTTTTAGTTACCGAAGTGTAAATTGAAATGATATTAAAAACAATGCCTGGTGGCAGCTTCCCCGCCCGCTGAGACACCCACAATCCTCGAGAGTGGTACTACAATGTTGCCAGCGACATTTTCACGCTGCTGGGGCTAATCAACAATCGATTGGCTGCCATAAAGAGACATTGCAGGGGCCATAAAACAATTATCTGGAATTTAAAAGTCTTGGCACACAATAAAGTAGTATGCTGTAGGTACTTCAACTAGCGACTCCGAGTGCAAATCTGGGTCAGGCTAAACTGAAAAACTCTGATTGAAGTACGAGTACTTACCGCAAAAGCCGGAGACGATTGCAATTGTCGATAATTGACGTCAACCATTATTGGGACTAACAGCGCATCATCCAAGTGACTCAGACTTTGGTCTGGCTAACAAAAAAAAATCCAAGTAAACAACAATTGGTTGTTCAATTGTTTTCCAGCCTGTGCCGCGGGCACCTGTTTATTGTTAGACCTGTCAGCGCTTTCCACAAAACTGTTTAAATTAACTTAATTGCATTTAATAGGCTGCCATCGAATGTTACTCGACTCGACTCCAACTGCACTAAACACATCTTGTTGCCCGTCAAGATAGCGCATTCCTGTGCTCTCGGGCCAGGAATTAGCATAAATGACATATCAATTAAGGCGACACACGTATCCAAGAAATGCATTAGATGCTGGCCTTAGGTTTTCGCCAATGCCTCCTTCCTTTCAAGCCTCAACCAGCTACCGAATACACTGATGCTGGCACTGAAGAAGCCGTGGCGCGTAGAAAATAAAAAATGAACAATTTTCCCAACTGGTCAAGAGGCGGACTGTAAATAACCGACAATAAATCACTTTGAACAAATGTTCAAAAACAATTTGTAAAACTGCAAACTGCAGCAATCGCAGTTGAAGCTGAAGTCAACACAACAAGTTATAAATTTGCCACAAAAACAAAAAAAAAACACCAACAACAACTAAAAATGCCACAAAACACACATTTGTAGCCACACTTTGATGAACATGATTTGTGTTTTGTTCGACACGCTGACAAATCACCAAAAGCCATCCATATCCCATGGACCATGAAGATTCGATCAGTATCCGAAGAGGAGCCCCAGCATTTAGGCACTCCGAACATTATGCGTCCGGGAAGACACGACTTTTACCCACATAATTGATTTGATTGCCGATGAAAGTTGCTCCCCCAAATAAGGCATAAACATCAAATTGAGGTCTCCGTCATTATCATTCAGCCAAAAGCCGAGTCACGTGCAGGATCGCTTATTGGCCATCACTTAAATCTCGGCCGGTTGCATTCCAGCTTCATCGAACAGGGCTCTCCAACATGTTTGTCTAACTTGTTGACAGCAAACTTAGTCGAGTTCATACAAAAGTTGCGACTTGAGTTGCAGTTCGATTGTCCTGTTCGAACTCGCTTGAGCAGTGACCGAAGAAGTTTTAGAATCTGACTGTAAAAGTTTCTTAAGGATTTGCTTTTAATATTTTATTTTAATATTTTTTATAAAATATAAAAATGTTAAGTTCCAATGTACTTCTTATTGACGAAATTAGTTTATTAATACTATAATTATTATGAAGTCTTCTTAAACTCCTTAGCTCAATTAAACAAAAGTTTGGAAGTTATTAGTATTAGTTCTTAAACATTTTTTTTTGCAAAAGTATTTATAAAACCTTAAGGACAAGATTAAAGATTGAACAAGTTTCCCTGCCATAACCTAGTAGATATTTTCCCAAAAAAACCTCTTAACACCATCTAAACCTCATCGAACTGCAACCTGTTGGCCAAGTGAGTGAGTTAGTATGTGGTGTGGATAGTTTTTTGGGTTCCGCTCAGTTCTTATACGACACTCGCGCCCGTCGGTCGAGCGATCACTTAGTACTACCAATCGACAAATTCGAAAAACGATCCGTCTCGGTGTTCCTGGACCAATCCGTTTGGCGGCTCGGCTCTTTAATTGCGTCACTAATGAGCTGCATTTATGTTAATCTCCGCACCCGGGACGTCTAAGCGATCTACACGATCTTAAGATTTGGGATCCCAAGAGAGGGATCTTCACCGCGGCATTCGGCACTTCTTTTGCTTTTCTTTTTTGGTAGTTTTCACCTGCTGAGACGTTTATGGTTATTGCCGCAATTCCGTTGTGACAGTCGGAGGCGCTTTATCATAAATTAAAAAATCGTGTAGTCGGCAAGGGACCGCTGGACCGCCGGACCGTTGGACCATTGGACCGCTGGACAGCCCCGCCCCCTTGATATCCACTGATGGATGATGCTGCCGCTGATGGCAGTTTCGGGTTTGAGTTATGGCCGGGCCAAGTCGGAGATTTGCATGAATGAAACGCACGCGTTGCTCGAAAACTGTTTGGTGATCCGATCTCGCGATGACTTAATTGAAACGCCGCTGGCTGGAGTTGAAGAAGGTGTTAATTAGCATACGAACAAATGGACAAAAGTTTGCGTGTATTTCGTATATTGTATTTCGGCATACGATCGTATCGTCGATGATTTTTTGGTCATATTGGCAGAAGTATTGAATGCTGCCGTCTGCGTTTTCGGTTCATTAATAACAACAGAGGCGTTCGGTTTACGTCCAATAGTTTGGCTCTTCAGATTCTCGGCTCCTATGGCGGCGTTTTATGTGTAAAAAAAAAAAAAATTAGAAATAAAAAAAGCCCTTCGGTATTATATATATATGGTACTGTGAGGAAATCGGAGACTGCTAAGCTCAGCAAAAAGGAAAGGAAATTAAGCCTCAAATGCATTGAGTATTGAGACTTTTTAGTGCGAATAGAATATGATGATAGTGCCAGCTGCTGGGCTCGAATTCGTGTTGTGTGCCTCGGATTTGCATCGTCATGTGGAAAATACATAACAAGCTCTTAATCTACATACTCTGGATTATGGAAATAAGGTATAGTAGCCCCATAAACGGTATGCCCATTAACTTTAACGGCCAAACAGTTATGTAGCCATGATCCCCGGGCGGTGGGTTGGTTTGGTGTTTTTTTTTATTTTCTTTGCTATTGAAATTGGTTTTTCCTGCGGTTTTTCCTTTTATCGCTGACAGATCTGCACGAGTTGACAACTCTTTCGTTACCTTTCGTTATATCGCTCACATCGCCGGACACGATCGCTAATTTTATCTGCGAAGCCACAGCGCGATGTATGTAAAAATCCTTATCGAACGCCCAAACAGTGAACGCCTCGTTCTATATAGTTAGCTGCTCCGATCGAAAGTTACAGGAAAGGGGAGTAGGGAGTTGCCACAAAAAAAGAAAAAACGTTGGAAAAAATCTCATTAAAATTGGCAATTAAATGGCAGGCAGCAAGTAAAGCACAAAAACTGACAGAAAGACAGCAGTCTCTCATTTGTAGCGAGGAGCAGCTAAAAGCTGAGTCTAAAATCGGATTGGGGCGGTAGGCGGGGCAACGACAACTGGAAATCAATTTTTGCCATAAACTCATCAACGTTGCCTCTGTTTGTATCTGTGTTTGTGTGTGTATTTTCAACTGCTATCTAATTGCCTTGATGCAGTTGCAGTTGCAATAACTTGGAGTGTATCTCAAAGATACGCGCTGTTTTTCTGCATTTTATACTCTAGCAGAGGTTATAATAGTTTTCTTTTGAAGTTGGTTAGAAAGACTTTTAAAAATATGTAGGTCAGTGTATGTTATGCTTTCTTTTTTGGCCATTTCAAAGCCTAAAACTTTTGACTTCTTAAAAAGCTTTTTTAAAGATATTTCTTTTATGATTTTTTGATAACCAAATGCCAAATCTTGTTTTTTTATAGGAACTCAATAGCTCTCAAATGATATTTATTAATCAAATTTATAAGCTCAAGAGTATAAGGTCTTCTGATTATCCCATTTAGCTTCCATTCTTGTTTCTTCTTCACATCTTGTCAGTGGGCTGTTCTTGTGGGCAGAGCTTGGCCAAACTGAACCTGAACTTAACCAAAACCAAAACCAAAAAAAAGAAGAGGAAAAACCTTCAAAGGGTCTTAACCCAGAAATGCTTAGCTCGTGTAATTGAGGTTACTGCAATTTTAAAGCAGGAAACCAGCTGCATCCTCCAGATACATCTCCGCGTACTCGTACTCGTACTCGTGCTCTTACATGGACAATTGGAACGCATGAACGTGCAGACAAATGCTCAAATTGCGATCAAGATCACTCTGCGCCAGTTGTGGCTGCATTTACAAGCCCAAAATGGCATAAACTCTTGCCTGTTGCCAGGTTTTTTTTTTCTCGGGTGCCAGTTGCCAGGTTGCAGGCTGCCAAGCTGCCAGGTTTCCACGTTTCCCAGGCCACAACCTGCAAAATAAAATCTCTGTGCGGGAGCCGTCGGTGCGGTGGTCGAGGAATCTGCGCCTGATCGCTGGTCACTCTGGTCGCTGGTATTGTTGCCGCATTTTGCTCTTACCATTTTTCTGCGGCTATGGATGAGTGATCGACTGCAAACCTCAAAGCCCAAACAAAACTATCTGCGTTGATCTGTTTGCCAGGGCGTGATGGGATGGGATGGGTTGGGATGGCAAGGGCGAGAGCAGTTTTGGCCGACTGGCTAACTGCCTGAGTGGCCATTCGACCACTTGGTCTCTGCCAATTGTCCATGACGAACGATCCGTTTTGGCTTTTACCTGTTACATGGACACGGCATATGTGCACTGAGAGAAAGAGTGTTAAATCAAGATATATCGGAATATATTTGTATAAAATAATAACTAAGTCTTCCGAAAGTACAACTATTACCTAATATGAGATGTAAACTTATATCTGAAAACACGGTTATAAAGCTACTAATTAAGCTTTTCCTTATGGCCCATTGGCTGCCCTTTTCTCACAGTGCTCGTACATATGTCTTTCTCTGGTCAATTACGTCGTCGTTTTTGTGGCCAGGATGGCCAGCAATTGTTGCTGGCCGTTTGTCTGAGCGTGGCAGCGACATTTTTCTTGGCCATGACCATGGCCAGCTCCGCTCTACTGCCTCCTTCTTCTTCCTACCAACTTCACCCTGCCCCTCTTTTGGAATATTTGTGTTTTATTGATGGCATGTTGAACAGCCTTTATGGGTTTTCGGTTTGTCCGCTCCCACCGCCGAGACCACTCCCTCCCAGCCCCGCCCACTTTACATGCAGCTGTAGCAGCCAAGCTGTTTTATCAGCGCACACAAAACTTTCAAATGCCCCGAAAACGAAGGGGAACGAGGCACCAAGGGATCGGAGAACTCCAATGAACATTATTGCCCTGGACCAACGCATTGTTTTGGCCGGATTAAAGCGCCTTTGTTGCTTCCGCCTCCAATTGGCGCTTGACTATATGGCTTTTTCAGTGGTGGAGGAGTGGAGAAGAAGTCAAAGAGTCCAAGGAGGGCCATGAACATGTCAGCAAGGCATGTAATTACCAGACGGAGCGCCGGCCATATATATCTGCCTGCTATTGGAGGCGCTACTGGTCAAGACCCGCGGTCTCTATGGAGAGTATAAGGTCCAAAACAGCAAACCGCCTGCGCAGCGGTGGGTCGAAACTATTTGGTCGACTAGATTCGCACAATTATGACAGGGCCCTAGACTGAAACTTGGCGATATATATACATATATATATATATATATATATGTACGAGGAGGTTCGGGGAGATTCGGTGGATCGCCAGTTGGTCCAGTGGTCCAGAGAGCTGGCTGGCTTCTACGCCTGCGCGTGAAAATATTAAAGTCATATTTTTATGAGGCTCCAAAGTGCGCATTAAGTTAGCGTTTCTGGGTTTTTATTTTTTTTTTAGCTGCTGCTGCTGCTGCTGGTTTGGGGCTTGTTATTGGCCATTTATGCTGCTCGTGGCCAAGTCATAAGTGGCTGCGCTCCAGCTGCCGTTGAATTATGCACCAGGCTTAATCCATTTTTAATGAGTCCACGTTGTCGTGGCAAATATTTTTGTGCAAATTAGTGGCTGAGGAATCACCAATTTGTCGGCAAAGCAGAAGCCATAAGACTGTCAATGGAACTAGTTTTCGTATTTTGTAAATGCCAGCTCTATTTTAGTTTCAATGGGAAAGAAGAGGTCGGTGGAGAGATGTTTGGTTGGCGGAGGCGGAAGTGGTATCAAGTTCATGACAGGTCCTTGCTCTCACGCAGCATAAAGGGTCACGAAATGAGTGCGAAACCCCGATATAGAACCAGAGATAAATATAAAGAAGTAAAGCAGTCTAAGGACACCGACAAAAACAAAAGAGGGGAACTCTAAACAAAGCGCAAATCAAGCACACGTGACTCGGACTGTTCAAGAGCCTGAAGATCATGGAGTGGATTGGGGATGGGTTTACAGAGAGAAAACAGAAAAGAACCTTAAAAACTTAAAACTCTAACTAAAGCTCTTTGACATAGCGTGTCAAGCCTTTAATTAATATGTATCTTACTAAAACGGTCTGTTTTCATAAATAAATAATGAGAATACGAGTTAGTGTTTTGTAGTGTAGTGTTTAAAAAATGACTGACACGTGATAAGCTGACATGTTGTTAATCTTTACACTAATTGCTCACTTATACTAAATACCTCTTAGTTTAGCTTAATAAATCTGAATATTTGTTTAACCAAATCATCGCTCATTTTGAGAGTTTGGAAAGCTGATTAACATAATCATAATAATTAACTATAATTTTCCGATCAATCTTCTTAATAGTTTCCCAAACTTTTTTAAAGTTTAAACAAGAAATGGGAGGTTTTTAAAAGTTTTAGTTTGTGACAGGTTACAAGGCACTTTTAATATTAATTCATAACCAATTTAAATGATTTTTTCTTAGTGCATAGCTCTGAAAACTAAAATGTGTTCTGTTAATGGCGATGATGATGATGAAATTGTCGGCGTTGACATGCAACAGGCAAACAGCAGACGGGCGGGCCAAGCGACAAATTAAATAAAGCAGCTAAAAACAAAAGGGTTCCGAGGAGCTGGAGATGGCCGCCTTGATTGCCGGCTGGTTTTGTGGAGTAGTGGAGTATAGTATAGCATATACCATATTTATTAAGGTGCGGGGGGCTTGACGGTCACGCTGGGCGAACGCACGTAAAAGCTATTGACTGACTGACTGGGTGACTGAATGACTGATTGGTTGACTGACTGACGCACAGCGGATGCGCTGACAGATCGATCGCGGTTATTTTGTTTTTTTTTTTTTTGTGGACCAACTTCGGTCACAAAGTTGAAGGTTTGCGGTCCCTTCCATTTCGGCCCTGTTAAGCGGGCCTAATTATTAGTTTTACCAACAATTTCGCCGTCGATCGTCGTCGACTCCAGTTTTGAGCCATGTTAACAGCGTGTTCAACAAGCCAGCAACAACGAAAGCGATCCCATATCAGAAATCAGCAATCGACAATCGACGTTTTGCCGAGGGTTTAAGCTCATGTCTTCGTGCTCCTCTGCGGTTGGTAAAATGTGTAATTTCTGTAAATTGATTTAATTGCTGCGTTTAAGAGTGCCTCGTAAGCTGGAGCTGGGACTGGAGCTCGACTCGAAGTTGGAGACACACGAGTGGCAGGCTGGGAAGGCATTTACATTTGAAGGCACAGAGAAAAAGGGGGTTTGAATTCAGGAATTCTTGAAAAAAAAATCAAATACGTTTATTTAGAATGTCAAAGAAAGGTTTTGGATTTTGAGATCATAATTATGATCTTATATTTTGAAAATTTTTTAAGTTTGTAAGCAATTTTGTTAAACTTAAAAGTTTTTCTTGCCGAATTTCAAGCATCCTGTTAAGTGCAAAATAATTATAAACTTTAAAACAACATTTTAAGCCCACTTTAAGTTTAACATGTGTACCTTACCATATTGCTTAGCACCTGAAAATGTTAAACCAAAATATCTAATTACAAATTATTTATATTTTTCCTGTGTAACCATGTGGCTGGCAATTGGAGTTTACGTTGCATTTGTATTTTAATATCGGGGTTGCCCACCCGTCCGCCAGTTGTTTGGCCCCGGGATGTGTTTCTTTGGCTTTTTCCTGGCTTTAACCTGGTCCATGGACAAAAGGCGAGCAGGCGATCGATAGATACCATGATTATTGCCACAGCTGTTTGATGCTGATTGGTTTGGCAGTTGCAAGTCGACAGGTTAGACAGCCGACACGTCTCAAGAGTGGGTGGCAAGTGGGAGGCAGTAAAATAGTCAAATATAGAGGCAGAGAGAGAGAGAGAGAAGGAGAGTTAAAAATATCTAAAATTGGCAATTTGCAACTCATTGTCAAAACTCATTAATCCCATTTGCCATTTTTGACTGTTAGCATTAATTTCGCCATTTAACCCGACAACTCAAGTGGAGCTGAAGCTGAAGTAAACGCGACTTGATTAGACACTCCAGCGAGTCACGACGGATGGCCAAGCTTCTCCATCTGCATCTCCGTGCAATTATGGCTAATAATACAGCTGGCGGCTGAGATTTGACTAAAACTGACAGTACAACGCCCAAGCCCATAGCCACCTGCCACAGATGCACAGAGGAAAAAATATAGATTTCTGGTTATAATGAGGAGTGTAAAATTATCGTTAAATATATTATCAACAAGATTTTTGGGTTAAATACATATATTTTCTTAGGAAATATGATTTTACATCAAATTTATGAGGTTTTTCTTGATGGAAGGAAAAAGTGATTGTCTTAAGAAAAATATTTATTTTGTGCTTTCTAAAATCCACCAATTTTTTTTTATAAAGACAACCCATCTAGTTCGATTAATAAAATATAAATAAATTTGTCCCTGTGCGGCAGACAACTGCAGCGCATTAATCTTGGCCAGACTCGACTCGATTGGCTGAGATCTGGAGCTGAGGCTTGCAGCTTGGAGCACACAGCTTGGAGCTGAAACTGAAGCCTCCAATGGCAAACGAAATGGAAATGCATATTCAACCAGCCAAAAAGACCCGCCGGCATTTGCTGTGCACGACTTTTCAGCTTTTCAGCCATTGCCAATCGAACGATCGATCTGGCTTGCGGATCACCATCGCGATCGATCGATCGGCATACGTTTGTTATTTATTTATTTATTTATTTATTGTGACTCTACAGGGTGTTATTTATGGTTCTGTTTGTTTTTGCCTTCTTGTCAGATTAGTGTCCAGCTTTACATCCGCCATGCTATGTGGCCGGATTCCAGGCCTGACTCCCGGCCAGCGAAATATGTGCCGCGAGATGCCCGATGCATTGATTGCCCTGGGTGAGGGCCATCAACTGGGCGCCCAGGAGTGCCAGCATCAGTTCCGGGGACACCGTTGGAATTGCTCGGAGGTGTGGCAGCGCAACGTCTTCGCCCATGTCATACCCACAGGTGAGTACCAATCACGAAAATAAACGCCCTCCCAGGGAGTCATATAAAATAGTTTTAATTTCATTGCTGATTTACGATTTTTAACTTTATGGGGTAAAGAGTAATAATAAAGATTTGGAAAAATGCTAGTTTAATTTGGGAAATTATATTTTTGTTTGATGCCAAATCAAAGCAACAACTTTGATATAAAATAATTCCAACTAAGACAGTTTCTCTACTAATAAGAAGTCACATCATTTCCTTTTAATAATCATCACCAATATTCCTAACTAGCTTCCCGGGAGGCTGCCTACACCTATGCGATAGCCAGTGCCGGAGCGGCCTATGCTGTGACCGCTGCCTGTGCCCGTGGCAACATCTCCACCTGCGGCTGTGATGTGCGGCACAAGGCCACGCCCAATGCCGGAGGAACTCCCGACGAGCCCTGGAAGTGGGGAGGCTGTTCGGCGGACGTGGATTTTGGTATGCGATATGCTCGAAGATTCATGGATGCCCGCGAACTGGAGCGAGATGCCCGAACGCTAATGAATGTGCACAATAATCGGGCAGGGAGAACGGTGAGTGTGATTATTTTTTTCAATATTTTATTTTTGTAATCTAATTAAGTTGTAAACATTTTAGCTGGTCAAGAAGATGCTGAGAACTGACTGCAAGTGCCATGGCGTAAGTGGCTCTTGCGTGATGAAGACTTGCTGGAAGAGCCTGCCGCCTTTTCGCCTGATCGGCGATAGGCTTATGCTGAAGTATCAAAAAGCCAAAACTGTTCAAGCCATCAAAGGCAAACGTGGACTGAGATTAGTATTAAGCAGGTGAGAAAGGAGATTTGGTAACTGAAGCTTAAAAAAGTTTTATATTTAATACATTTTTATTATTATTCCCTTCCAGAAAGAAGCATGCCGGCACCGCTCGTGCTCAGAAACCTGTCCTCGATTGGCCGAAGCGCATGGAGCTGATCTACCTGGAGGCGTCGCCCAACTACTGCGAACGAAATTTGCAGACAGGCAGCCAGGGCACCGCCGGCAGAACCTGCCAGCGGACCGGCCATGGTCCCCAAAGCTGTGACCTGCTCTGCTGTGGGCGTGGCTACAACACGCAGCATATCCGACGGACCAAACAGTGTCGCTGCCAGTTTCGCTGGTGCTGTGAGGTCAAATGCGATGAGTGCGACGAAAGCTACGAGGAGTTCACCTGTAAATAGATGTAGCATTACCAGAACGCTGCTAGTATTAGGGCTATGTCATAGGAAATGCCTTAATTAAGTATTATGAGAAATGTATTACACTCACAGACACGCACCGCGCCACCATACAGACACATTCCAGAATAAATATAACAAGTTAACATCCACAAGTAAAAATGTATTAAATGAATTGTACTTAGAATATAGCCTACATCTAATGATAGTTCAAATAGTTGGCGCTCAGCATTGCCAGCGTGAATTTCGTAGCGAAACGTAAGACCCACATTCGGCTTTCGGCGTAACGCAATGCGCTGGCTTCATATTTTGGTATTGGAATTCCGGAATTCTGCCATTAAGCTGGCAGCTCGCTGGCGGACTCGAAATGCCAGCACTTGTGAACTGCGCGAGCGCCAAGAAGGAAAAATTCATTGATTGCAATCACGCGCTCTCCCGCTTGCTCTCACTATTCCTAGAGCTAGGCGAGGGTACGGGGATGTGAGTACGGAAAAGTTTGAAAACTCACCACTTGCCAGCGAAACGGCGACTATATTAGCGACTGGCTCGCACGAGCGGCGCTCAGTTCTTTGAGGGTAGTTAGTTGGACAACGGCGTTGCCGAAAACGGGCCACCTCAGCTGCCGCACAATACATTTTTGGGTTAGGAACACACATACACGCATACACTAACATGAATACCCATACACTCTCGCATGCCCACACACACACACACACACACATATATATATATACGCTCGCAATATATGTATCTGGCTGAGAAATGTATAAGGCCAAGAAAAATCCAACTTAATTGCATTCGCAGTAGCGAAGAAAAGTGAAAAAACAACGCGAGAAAATTCCATTGACTGGCAAAAAGTGCTTCGATTAAATGCATAAATTCCCCATTTATCCATGTGTGTGTATGTGTATGTGTGTGCGAGTGAGTAAGTGAGTGTGCGTGAGTGGCAGCAATAGCGCTAGAGGCTGCTCCCTGGATACAGAAAAGTGATTTCCTGCAAGAAGTGCAAAAAAAAAACCAGTTAAAACCAAAACGAGCAGGTCAAAACGCCGCCTACAGCGCCGAAAATCGTGTGACAAACTCAAGAAACCATTTAAGATTCATTCTATATATGTATTTTTGTGTATATATGTATAAAACATGTACAAACCCACACTGTCAATCAAAAGGAGTAATCTGCCCCACTAAACGTTGCCTATCGATTGGGGCAAAAAGCAGAAAAATTATTATAAATTGCTTCAACCTACATATAAGCCATGCGAGTTATACACACACACTCGCACTCGCACACCCACAGAGGCACACACACACACACACATACGCATACGCCTACAAAGAGACATTAAGTTTGAAAAGCTATAAGCTGTATAACAGAGCCTAGAGCCGAGCGAATGAAGTGGCAGAAGGTGGGGTGCCAGCATAATGTTGAGCCACCCAAACCACCCACTCATAGCTCCACCAATGAACCCCTACTCCCTCTCCCCAAGCCCCCTTTCGTTACGTCGAACCTTACGTTGTTCGTGAGCGTAACTCGTGCGTAGAACACTCTCCACTCCATTTTGCGGAGCACTCTTCAACTCCCTATCTCTCCGTATCGCTGGGTGTGTGTGAGTGTGTGTGTGATTGCCTCGAATGTGTGTCAGCGGGAGCGAGTGTAAAAAATATCCTCGTTGGGCACGAAGCCACCAAACCACTTGAAAGAAGAAAAAAAATGAAACACAAAAAGAAACACAATGTGAATGAAGACTTTAATTAGTTTAGCTAGAAACTCACGCGGTTTAATTATCCTCCCACACAGCCATGTACATAAAACAAAAGCCGTTTAAATCATAAACACAAAATGCAATTAGCCAGCGAGCGCACGCCACGAAAGTCAACAAACTAACTAAGCCAGTGTCATCAACTAAATTAGTGCAAGCAGCTAGCCGACCGGAACCGGAAATGCCCATTGAGCCGCCTGACAACAACAGCAACAGCAACAACAACAATAACAATAACAACAACAACAAACACAATCACAGCAGTCACAAGCACCATTGCATTGGCAACGGCCATAAAGACGTGCAACAAATCGCCCACACACACATGTAGTTGCAGCGCGAGTGCGTCAGTGTGTGCGGGCTCTGAAAACCGGAAGCGGAAGTCGAGGAGCCGGAGGAGAAGGAGGAGCAACAGCAGAGGCAGCAAGTGCAGGGACTTGATCAGAAGGATAGGAAGGCGTAGATAGATTAGCCAGTTTTTTCATTCGCCCGCAGTTCGTTAAGGAAAATCATTCAAAATTCATCGCCTAAGCAAAACGGGTGAGCTATTTAACCATATTACGTATACGTAACGACACCCACATACAACTCACACTTACACAAAGATACATATATACAGACAAACACACGCAACCAGAGACACACAGCAAAAACTTCAATTTGTGATGTGAACCGTAAGCGATATTGATTTCTGATTTGTGCGTATGCCTTGTGTAACAGGAGCCACCATAATTTAACCGTAATCAGTTATGAGTAATCTGTTTTCATGCCTGCCTTTGTTCTCTCTTTGTAACTCCTATATATAATATATATCTCCTGTTCTCGTATCTGTTGTGATTTCTTTTATTCTACCAATGGAGAGACCATAAAAATATACATATTATGTTCCCCAAATGCCTAGACTTAGTTGGAGTCCTAGAATGTAGTCGAGTAACTTAGTTTAGCGAGTATATTTTAGTCTCTTTTATCCATGCATTACCCATACGCCCCGTTCGATCAATCAATCATTCAGAGATTGGCAAGCAATTTGGAAACTTATAATTAGATCTGTGTGGATGGGTCTTTGTGGGGCAGGCTCAACGCATACGAATGCTCGCATGATTTGTCAGTTTTTCTTTTTCGTTTCTTTTCGGTTTTTTTAGGGATTGAAACAGCCGCCCCCTTTGCGTGTCAATGCTGCGGTGTTTGGCTTTATTATTTATTTCTTTCGGTTGTTATTTGAGTTGCCTGCTCTAATTTTAGATCAGTCGAATAACTTTTATTGATTTCAAATTTTAACCTTATTTTACATGTGCCCCAGGGGGTGTCACTGTGTTACAGTGTGTCTGTATGTGTGTGTGTGTGTAAGTGTGTGTGCTGGCAAAGAAAACGCCGCCAATCCATACATTGGGGCAGTGGTAACAACAAAATACGGCAAAATATTTTACGATGACGCTATTGTTGTGAGCGGAAGAGAGAAAGCGGAAGGAGAATGAAGATGTCACGCATTTGCGCACTATCCATAGTGTGGTGAGTTCTCTCTCCGGCTTTCTCCGGGGACGCCTCTTCGTTTCTTTCTTTCTTTTTTTTTTTTTCCTTTTTTTATTTTCTGTGGCTATTCAACATGTTTGTTTTGGGGTGGAGGCCCCCGGAGCAGATAGCCTGATAAGATGGCCTCTGGCCGTCCGAAGTCCGGACAACAATCGTACAGTGTTCCAGCTTTAGCTCCAGGTCCCTTAAGTATGCAGCTCAAAGTGCAATCTGTCTCACTCTCTGTCCATATACACGTTGCATATACATATACATATATCTAGATATGTTTGCCCAGCAAAGTGCAGTGCCTGGGGCTCCCTAATGGCATGGCGATGTAATCGAATCTGGGCCTGATATTTTATGGCCTGTCTGCCATATCCTGACCTCATCTGCTGGCGCTTCCTCCATCTTTTTATGTCGCCATTCTGTGGCAAACACACACATACTAGCTGAGGCACAGGCACAGGCTCCGGCTCCGGCTCAGTCGGAGTCTTCCTCCTCATGGGTGTGTGAATGGGCTTCCGGCTTGCTGATTCGTTTAGCTTTCATTTTGAGCCGCTGCAGCTGTCGCACTGTCCGTACTGCTGCCGGTGATATCCGCACTCTTGGCCCATTCACAGCAGCCGAGGCATCAACATTCCACTGCGACTTATCGCCATGCCGCATTGTTTATGCGGGCGGCTTAATTGCAATTTGCTATTCATGATATTCACAAAAATACTTCAAATCCCTAAAGCCTTAAAAAACGAGAGCAGTTTGGCAGAAACAGTGATTTAAAAAAGTGTGGGGCATCTTTATAATAATTTATTTATTACATTTGAAAGGCAAATATTAAAACGTAGCCTAGCATCTTTCCTGTTTTCAATCATCTAAAAGATTAGATTCTTAAACAATAAGCTACCGTGTCAAACTGATTAAAGACAGGCTAAGATCAATGTAAGATGGACCGCATAAACTCCGGCTAGCAGCCTCTGTGGGAGACTTCCTTTCAGCCGAGAAGAAACCGCTCAAGTGGCAATTTGCATGCGATTTGTTGCCGTCTCTATAGAACACAGAGCACGCATTTGCATAGAGCGGCCATAATGCAATGCTCGGCGAGATGTATTCGCTCCACAGCAGCTAGTCCCAACCCCTCCTTCCCCTCATCCTTTGAGTCCTTTTTGAGTCTGTTTATGGTATTTGTTTATGCGCTTATGGCCCGGTAGTGAGACAGCTACTGGCTGAGATTTAGGTAAAAAGGTTAAGGATATGCAAGTTGAGCTAGAGCCAATTTAAATGCAAAGAAGGAAACCGCTGAAGAGCGGCACGCTTGGGTTTTTGCGGAAGCCTTGGCTTTCAGTGTTCAACGGGGCGTATGCGTAATGCGTAATGCGTAATATATTGCTTATCATGAGAGACAATCTCGATTGTGTGTGCCATTGTACTATTTGTGTGTATGTTTTTCGTTCTCTTCTCAATTCTTCCACTTGCAGATGCCGCACAAGAGAGAGAGAGAGAGAGAGAGAAAGAGAGAGTCGCGATTAGATCAATCAATTAATCAATCAAAACCGAGCATATCAACCGAGAGGCCAATACCAACCAGAGAACCGAAATCAAAGTTCAACGTTGCATTTAAGGTGCCCGGTAGAGCAGTTCAACTTCCAGTTACCACTAGCACTCCGTGTGTGATTGCATGCCGCGGATGAGCCGCGGATTATGTCACGTGACGATTATAATCCAGTAACTAGCTCTGGTGTACGCAGTCCGGGTCGCGTGCGGCGTCTCCAGGAATTGCCGACGGTCGATCGATCCCCATCCCGGGACTACGGCGCACCACGCGGAAGTCCTTTAGGTGAATGACCAAAACCAATCCTGAACTAAAAAAAAAATATAAAAAATAAAAAACCGTACTAAATCTCTGGACCTAGTCCATGCAATCTGTGCACAAACGTAGTCCAGCACTTGGCCAGTATCTTGTTTGTGCGGAGAGCCATGCGAACATTGATTATTTTCCCTCATTACGATCAATTGGCTAAATTTCTTTAACCGAATCTAGAAATTACTAACCCTCTCTGCCGCTCAGCAGATATCATTCCAAATTCAAACTTCGCCTCAATCAACAAAATTTATCATTATGCAAAATTAACGCTTATGTTCTAAAGATTTGTATATCGCTCGCTAGCTCTCTACTTGTTAACGCCATATATAACTATTTTCATTTCGTACTATTTGTAGTCGACTCAACTAATGCAATTTCTAACTAAAGTCTATTATTTCTGTCTAACATCACACGCATGCGCATGGTACATAAATTTGATTTCATTTCATTTCACTTGATTCGATTTTCATTTATTTCGTATTTCGTTTCGCTTCACTCATCCTGCGAATCTCTACCGATTTTCATTTCAATTAACCCACACACCCACACACACACACACAAACGCCACTCGTCGACACACTCGAACACTTCGAACACTTTGAAAAACACATTCAAATTGAATTCCATGCGGGAATTGGATGGAAATTTTCCTCAACGCACTTGCAGCTGCCGGGAAATTGCATTAGAACAGGGAAACGGGAACTGGTATACAAAAAGCAAAAAAAAAACAGGACTAGGAAATGGCCCACAGCTGAGCAGCCATTTGATGCAAAGAAAAACCACTGCGGAAGAGTGCACCTTGAAACTATCAGTGAAAACTTTGCCCGGAGCCGTGCGTTTGATATCAAAGCCTCAAACTGGATTACAATTATGGTTAGCTAAACTGTTTTGCACTTGAACGGGGTCAGCACTTGATTACGCCAGCTAATTAGCATTTGGCCGCCATTCACGGGGGCTTAAATAAACCATTTATGAGCTGAACACTGAACACTGAGCCACTGACGAACGAAGGACGTTGAAGGAACCGCAAATTTAGTTTCGTGCTCTCGACGTGCAAAATGATTTCGTGCCGGGAGAAACTTAGTTTATAGCCCTCGAAGGTGGCCTGAAATATGAGCCAGAAGCCAGGACACACAATGTAGTTTGCTTGGTTTACGAGTGGGTTCACTGTGGGTTGTGGGTGTAAAAAGCAAAGCCAGAACACGACAAACACTTTTTCCCAGTCTTCTTCGTTTGTTGACTTTTTCCCCTTTATTTTCCCTGTTTGCATTCTTTTTTTTTTTTGCGTTATGTTACCTGCGTTCCTTGCCACTAACCTAACCCAACCTAACCTAACCGAAAAATATAAGAAAAAAAAACCGAAGAAAATGAGGCAGAAACTCCACTGCACTAGTTGCCACATCTAGAGAAAAAAACACTCTGTATACTTCAATTTTTTTTGTTGAATTTTTGTTTTTTGGTTGCGTTCTTTTTGTTCTGGTGGCCGGAAGAGGAGCCGAAACGAAAACACGAAACAACCACCTGAACCACCACCAGAGATAAAACCACCACCCGTCCGTTCCGTCATCCTCATTTGGTCATCCTCATGAATTCTGTGTGTGTGTGAATTTCAGCAATGGGCAGTCCATACTACCGCGACATGGATGAGCCAACAAGTCCGGCCGGAGCGGGTCACCATCGCAGCCGGAGCGCCAGCAGACCACCGATGGCCCATGCCATGGACTATCCAAGTAATGACCGTTAATTAGGGAATATTAAAGGGTTATATTATCAAAGTCAATCTGTTATTATTTAAGCCGAAAAATGGTGTTTAAAAGAACACTATAATCATATTGACTTTGACATATATAAACTTTATTCTAGAACTTAATTTACCTTGTCTTATCCTTTATCAAAATCCCAAACTAAAATCTTTTCTGAACTGCCCACTTAGGAACCCGCTACCAATCGCTGGATCGCGGCGGACTCGTGGACCCACACGACCGCGAGTTCATACCCATTCGGGAGCCCCGCGATCGGTCCCGGGACAGATCCCTCGAACGGGGACTATACCTAGAGGACGAGCTCTATGGCAGATCAGCGCGCCAGAGCCCTAGTGCCATGGGTGGATATAATACGGGCATGGGCCCCACCTCGGATCGAGCTTATTTGGGCGACCTGCAGCACCAGAACACCGATTTGCAAAGGGAGTTGGGTAACCTGAAGCGGGAACTGGAGCTGACCAATCAAAAGCTTGGCAGTTCGATGCACAGCATCAAGACTTTCTGGTCGCCGGAGCTGAAGAAGGAGAGGGCACTGCGTAAGGAGGAGAGTGCCAAGTACAGCCTGATTAACGATCAGTTGAAGCTGCTCAGCACGGAGAATCAGGTGAGTGAGAGATATTAGAGAGGATAATACTTGAAGTTTATTAAGTTAGAAACATTAAGTTTGGAAAATATAATAAATTTAATTATTATATGCCACAGAAACAAGCCATGTTGGTGCGTCAGCTGGAGGAGGAGCTCCGCCTGCGTATGAGGCAGCCCAACTTGGAGATGCAGCAGCAGATGGAGGCGATCTATGCGGAGAACGATCATTTACAGCGCGAGATTAGCATATTGCGCGAGACGATCAAGGATCTGGAGTGCCGAGTAGAAACCCAAAAGCAAACACTAATTGCCCGCGACGAGAGCATCAAGAAGCTGTTGGAAATGCTGCAGGCCAAGGGAATGGGTGAGTTTTGAAAAGGTTCAGGGATAACCTAATCAGATAACTAAATCTTTTCCCCACTTTATCTTTAGGCAAAGAGGAGGAGCGCCAGATGTTCCAACAAATGCAGGCGATGGCGCAGAAACAGGTAAGTGCCCATATGATACTTTGGAGTCCCTTAACCACTCTTTACGAGGACGAGGTCGAGAGTCCCAGTCTCGCTCTTTAGCTCCGCCATCTCTCTGACTACCTCTGTATATCTCTGTCAATCTATCTCTCTAATTTTCTTTCGTTCGGCAAACAATGCTCTAGAGAATGATTTCGTACGCGGGCAGCTGGGGAGAAAGGGATAACTTTCCCTTTCTCCCCCGCCTGCCCTTTCTCTCTGAACACGAAAAAAAAACACATTTTTTATGCATCTTGAGTTTAGAAAAACATTTGATGCAACATCAGAACTTTAAGAACTTTTATTTTAACCCAAGACACACATACACACACGCAGACACTAAGCCTTATATACTCGATATACCTATACACATACACACACATATATATATATATATATATTATATATACATACTGCTTTATAACTGTTACAATCTAGTCAAAAAAAAAAAACATAAGTAGAGCCTAGAAAATGTTCGCTTTTATGCCAACAGAAGCTTGAGTTGTTCGTAGTGTTTTCACACTGTTTTCCACTGTTTCCACTGTTGATTTTTCATTTCCCACATTGACACACACAGATGATACCACACACGTACTCATACATAAAGCCTGACACGTTTCATTCAGTTTGCTACATGTTTTGCATATTTTTTACTGTTTTGTTCTTGTTGCCGTTGTCGCTTAATTAATTTGCAACTTTGTGCCGAAGAGAATGAGGACAGTGGAGGCAGTCAACATCAATGAACGTCGTTCAAATTAACATTAAGTGCAGTGCACTACCCATACATGCAAACGAACATACACATATGTAGCCCCAAACACATCTACACTTACACCTAACACCTACACATTCACGCACACTCAGACAGCAGCTTAGTCATTTCATTGTTCGCCACCCAATAAAATCTCGATTTTTGTTGCACACTTTTCGGCGCCACAATGGATGCATCTTCGCGTGGCCCATTTATGTATGCAACAGTAATGCATTGCCAGTTCCTGGAAAAGTGCATTTCCCCGCTTCATTGTTGCATTCCATTATTTATCGAGTGGGCGGCGACCTAATGCCTCCCTTACCTCCCACGGGAAATCAATCTGAAATAAGTCTGGAGTTGCTGCACCAATTTCAGCTTAACTTTTTACCCACCGACCTCCCCAAGGACATGGCAAACAACCAACTGCTTATTACTGATCCAAACTCTTAGTCCCCTCCGCCCCTTCCCCTTCCCCTTCTCCCACTCTAATTACATGTTTGCCCCGAGCTAAACTCCGACATAGCCACACACGGCGTATGCGTAATATTAAGCGCAAACAGAACAAAAGGCAGCCAAGCACATAGAAAATATATATGAAGCGAACAAAAAGGAAAAACAAGAAACGAGGGGGGGAAATAGGGAAAAAGCATTTTCAGAGCATGGTCAGACAGTTGGGCAGATTCCCAGTGGGCAGCATAAATAACCTTGATACAGAAACAAAATCTATTTAAGGACAACAGACGCTGGCCAGCGAAAAGGCCAAAGGGAATACCCAGTACAAATGGTAAAATATTCTTATTATCCGATTGGCATTTAAGTTTCCTTTTGTCTAACACTAAACTTAGTTACTCTCTTGACGACCTCAAAAGATGAAATTTATCTATGGTAATGGTAATTGACAACTTAACTGCTAGCTAAAAGTCAAAGAAGTCTAGTCTCAGAATTGAAATATGCATATTTTCTATGAGCTTTGTATATCCAATGAATGGCCATAAAATATGACAAATATTAGCCAAGAGTGGCCACTATCCTTGACTGAATTTTGAACTTCATTTTTTATCTTTGCACTGCATTGAGTCCCCGTGGCGTTAAACCCATTTGCATAAGCTCAACATCCTTTTTTTTCGGGCCACCATTTCTATGGAATTCTCTGCACAATAAGAATTCAAATGGCGTTTTCTTTTTCAGACTCTTTTTTTGGCTCATCGCCCAATGGCATTTTTCGGGAATCGCATTTCATTCCTGCGTAATGCTTTGTACATTTTTTTGTTTGGTGGGCTTTTCGTATATTATATTATACCAATTGAATGGAACGGAGAACAACAACTGCCTTGACCGGCAATTGGCGAGGCTCGAAATTAATTTGTCACTGATAAAGCAAACAAATGGTCGGAGGAAATGCGGCATAGTTACACGGCCCACGGACAGCAGTAATTAAAAATCAGCCCACAAAACCGGACTAAAGAATACAAAAACCAAAAACAAAAAACCAACCCGCCCCCACATGCCCATACAAAAGAAAACAAATTTTGCCTGTTTTTTTTTGTATTTTTTTGCCGGGCGAGCAATTAAAAGTTGTTGCGTATACGCCGCGTTAACAGGGCCGGAAAAGAGAGCAATCGGCTGGCGCAGTTCTTTCGAGGTCACTGCGTTTTACATTTCCTATTTTTGGGTGCAGATTCTATTTATTGCAAACTGCAGTTTGCCAGCCTATCCCCTTAGCCCCCTTTTAGCCCCTTTAACCCTCTTTTGGTTCGGAAAAAACTTTCAATAATTCATCTTGTTTAGCCCAAGTTGGACCAAGTTGAGCCGCATTGAATCGACTTTTTCCACTCTTGCTGCTGCTGTCCTGACTTTTGGCACTCTTATATAAGCCAGAGGGCCCTGGGCACGCATGTATGTACATATCTCGGTTGGAATATGCGAATATGTATATACTTTTTTTTTTACGAGAATCCTCTTGGTTTTATTGTCTACTTCTTATGGCCATTTAACCGACGCCACTTTGTCTGCTTGATGCTCAAACTTTCGGCTTACATTTTTGCCCCCAAACCAAGCACTTTTGCACGCTTACATATAATATGTACACAAATCTAACAAACTTATGCGATACTCAACCTTCTCACTTCTGGTGAACCCAACAACAACAACAACGAAAACAACAACAACGAGACAGCTTGATTTGGAGCGTGAAATCAAGAAATTCGCTCAGGAGGAGCAAGGGGTAAGGGTGAGTGTATGTGTTTGCTACTCGTAAAACAAAAAAAAAAATACGAGAAAAAAACGACTCAGAGCTAAAGACCTTCTTAGGGGCAATCCAACCCGTCTTAACCTCCGACAGCCGATGACCAAAGCTTAGTATGCTGCTCAGTATGCCAGACCACACAAATCCATATTCAAATATTCATGTTGTTTGGCTCGCCCTCACTGGGTTTTATCTCCTGTTCCGTTCTCTTACCTCCCTTTCTCTCTTTCTCTGTCGGTCTCCCTCTACGTAACGTCCTGGCAAATTAGAAACTATGCAAAACGATGCCAATGGCTGAATTTTAATTAGCAACCTAAGCCAGGCACCAAAGGGGTAAACGGAGGATCTAGATGTATTACGGGGATTGGCACATACCAAACCAGGAGCGGACTTAAGTGCGTTGGGGCATAGCCAAAGAAGTGGGGACCAAAAAAAAGTCCTAAGAGGTTTTGGCGAAATAAAAAGGAAAGAAGGGGTTTTATATTAAATAAGTTAGTAGTATATGAAGAGAAATTAACTAGCTTAAGAATGTTTTTACGAAATAGAAACATATCCAAACTAAATCCGAATTTCCAAGCCATTAAATCACAAAAAGAACACATATTTGTGCGGCAAAAACGACGTAAATAAAACATAAATCTGACTAAAATTGAGGCGATAGATTAATCATCCACCGGAAAGCAGCGAAAATTGCACTATATCGTAAATTTAAAAGCTAAAAATATAAGGCTTTAATTCATGACTGCAAATACCATAAAATACTGCCCAGGTCTATATTAAATTTCGCACTCCCTCCGAACACCGACAACCGATTGCGGCAGGCATTTCACTCGCAGGTCACTAAATAAAACTCACACGACACCCTCATACACTCATAAAGTTCCCGGCCAAAGAGCCAGCCCTGTGTCCTATGCATACGCATAAATAATAATGGGCATGGAGCACGGAAATCGTGGTGGCTAGGGAACCGGGTACAGTGGGTGCTGGTTGCTGGTTGCTGGGTCCTGGCAACTCGTTATGGTTGCCAGTGGGCCTTGCTCAACGCTTGATATATTATGCTGCTGGTTACCAGAGCTCTTTGTTTTGCGGGGGCATAAAATAATTACGCGGCCTACCGCAAAATTCATTTTACCAGCGTTGAGAAGGAAAAAAAGAAACAACACATCAAAGACCTCAGCAAAGTTAAGTGTGTTAAGGAGATAGAAATGCATTTAAAGAGAGACAAGTACTTGGTGGAGTTCCATGCATTTCGATTTATCGATTGCCCCAGACAAGCGAACAGGAATTCAATTTCAAATGGCATATTCGAAAACAAATGACTGCCTAATGAGTTGCCCACTTAGCATAATAATTGAATGGAAGCTGCCTTAATATGCAAAGTGTTGCCTACTTTTGCGGGGCCAGTTCGCCCGGAATGCCATTTGTTTGGGGGGCGTTTGATGAGGGGTTAATCCGGAAAACAGGAAACCAAAGGGGGCGGTACGGTATGAGGGAGCAGAGGTTGGACCGCCCGCAAGTCAGCTGCTCGAGAAGTGCAGTCCATGTCATGCGCAGGCCTTCAGTTGCAGCAAAGGCCGTTTCGACCAGCCGCAGCCAATGCAGGGTTAAACTTTGCAGCGAGTAGCTGTAAAGCGAGTTCGCCCACTCCCTCTCCACTTCCGTCCACTTCATACCACTCTGCTGCCCTTTTGGCAAGCAATCAATATTGCCGCCAGCTTTTGAGCGTAAATGAACGTAAAAGCTCTCGCTTGACTTGAAGAGCTTTTCATGTGGCACAGACCACATGACTGGACTTGTGAGCGGAAACGAAAAATTTAACTCAATCGGGACGAGAGCCGAATCCCAAAAGCTTAGATGATGAGTGGTTTAGCTCAGTGCCGAAAGCCGACTGAATGAGTACAAAATACCCAATGCTTAGTACCGCATGATTTATATCCTCGCTTAGTTACGAATGATGACAAGAAAGTTAGCCTAGTGACGAAAGCT